ATTGTAAACAATTTATTGAACAACCAAGGAATTGAAATCAGGGATTGGGTGAGAGCTGGTACCAAGAGAACGTTGTCTGGGACAATGGCTTTTCCTTCTTGATTAACCAAAGTCGCCTTTCCAATGGTGGTGGCATATAGAAGATTGCTGTGACCACCAGTGGAGATCTTCACATTGGTTTCTGCAATTGGTGTGAAGCATGCTGGGTCATTCACCATGTGCTGTGTGGCACCGGAATCCAGAACAATGGGTTTGTTTTTGGATTTGACCAGGAGAAGCGAGACTTAGGATTCGTGTCCATCGTCAACTTCCACCAGCTGAGTGGTGGCCTTATTGGATTGATTTGAGAAGCGAGGCAGTCGAAGATGGGGGTGAAGTTGATAGCAGTGATCTTCGTCATGACTGGTTGCAGCTGGATTGTGTTTTCCTGGTTCACAGTAGGGACCTCGCTTTTTCTTCGTTGCTCCTTTCTTGGAGGATTCTGTTGTGATTAAGATGATAGATTGCTAACTGGGGAATGTACAAAGGTGCGGAGGCTGAAGATAATCCCCCAGTTGGGGAAACCCCTGGCAAGTCCTGAAGGGTGGTTACAAGATCATAACACTTTCACCATCCAAATGGGTATTTCATAGAAGTAGCATTCATTGACCCATCCACAGTCATTCATCTCCAAGTATCCTTAGTACAGTGGTTAGTACTCTTGACATGGACATAAAAGATGTGGGTTTAATTCCCACAGGACAAATATTTTTTTCAGAGTTTCACAGGTTATGAGCCCAGCACTACTGCGCAATCTCTAGAGTATTATATTGTCTTGTTTATGATAAACCCCTTTCAAAGCATGGGGGGCTGTTGGAGTGTGGTTATGCTTCACTAGGAATTATTATAACTGCTGGTTTCTATTACATTATAACCTGTCAATTACAAGCCTTCACCCTCCAAATGGGTATTTTGTAGACACCATCAGAATTCATTGAGAAATCCACAGTCATTCATCTCCAAGGGTCCTTAGTACAGTGGTTAGTACACTTGACATGGACGTAAGCAATGAGGGTTTGATTCCCACAGCACACATATTCTTTCTAGAGTTTCACACAAATTGTAGACACAGAAGGTTTTTTGAAGAGTGAAATTGAAAAAGGAGATTGGGGAGGCTATATTCAACAGCTGCCACAAGAGCACATTTATGGAGACTCCTTTCCGGGTGGCAACTCAGTGACCTGGGCTTTGTGTTTTCTTTATTGTGCCCTAGCGTGTAGGCCTGTGATGCTAGATCCACCTACCAAGGACAAACAAGTAGATGGGCCATGGATCCACACTCCAAATCAGGTTGTGGAGCTCCTACCATGCTAGGTGATAGGCAGTTGGTTGAGGGATGGGAAGTAGTAAAATGGAGTGAAAGCCCTACAGATTAGAATGGTCAGAATGAGGGGTGAAATCAGTTAAGCGCTTGAGTAGGGGAAGGCTTTTATTTTACAACAATGTTGGATGCACCACTGCAAAAAAAAAAATTGCTCAACTATCTGCAGTTTACATGCAGCATGCTCCAGCCAAGCTTCCATCCAAACTCTACCTGTTTGCATATTTATACGTGTTGGCACATTAACTTTGCAGTATGCACAGTGACTGTGCATCAAAGCTTAGTTGAACCACTCTTGGAGAATGGTTTGGTTAAGAACAGAAGCTTCCTGGGAGTATCTGCATGTCAACTGCAGGCAGTTGAGCAAGTTGTTTTGGAAGTGTAACAATCTTGTGCTATTTGGAAGTCCTTCAAGTATCTTCAAATTTTGTTGTATCATAGCTACCATCCCAACCTTATATTTATCTTAAAAGTTGGAAACCCAGGAAAATTCCAATGGTTCAAACTCTCAGGTTAGAGAAATTCTAGAGAATCATCATTGGGATGATCCATAGATTTTGATTCCATTTTACATGTATTGGGTTTTTGGAGCACTTGTTTGTTAATGGTGGTTCACATTGTTTCTGAATTCCAAGGGGCTAGAATTTTCCTTGATGCTATGTACTTAAAATAGGTTGGATAAAATTTCTTGATTTCCAATTGAATGCACCTGTAGAGAAACTCAACTGCCAAATCCATGAATCTATAAACTGAATGGTGAGCTTCAACTTGAAAGGTTAAGAGGGATAATTGGTTGATATCTTCAATGTGAAACTTCCCCTTGCCAAGCTGCAAAATTTCAGAGCTAATGGTTGAGACTAATTCACTCTTCCAATAAACACTCCCTTTCATTGCTCTTTGCTACTGCAAACCAGAAAGTGATTCTGAATATTCTGCCTTGAGTTCTTGAATTGTAGACTTGACTCCACTTTTAAAATGTATTCATGATAGGATACAACGGAAGTCTGTGCCCACACAACCATGACTTCCTTTTCCCCTCTAGCTCCTCCCTTCCTCCCACTCCCATTGAGTTCCTGCACCACGCACCCCTGAATCTCCACCAATTTCCACTCCCTGCAGCGCCCCAATTCAACAAACCCTGAATCTGCCTCCCTCAGGCGCCTCACTACACAAACTCTGGACCCCCTGGCTACTCAGCCGGCCTGGTTGCCCCTGCAGCTCCCTCTGAAGTAAACCTTGCCTGCTCAATCCTCCTCTGATGCTCAAGCCCCCTCTACGCCCACACCTTTTCCCTGCCGCACTTCCTCCGCTGCTTAAAAAAGCTTGATTCTTCCGCAGCTGAAAAAAGCAAAGGATGATCTGCTCAGCCTACAAAATTCCTGAAAATACTTTCCTTTGTTTACTTTAGCCTGCCGCAGCTTCCCAAATGTACCATGCTCTCAGCGGCAGCTATTCCTTCTCCTATAAAGACTCCACACTGCTTTGCTGCTCAGGCCCCCCACTCCCCAATACCAAAGCCCTTGGACTCCTCAGTCTGGTCTGTATTGCACCACGAGTGTCTGTATGTTGGTTGCTAGCAACTGACATTGAGGAAGCTCTGGTTGAAGCTCCTCCCTTTCTTGAGGCACTCCTTTGTTTGC